TGCTGCTCATGAGGCCGTGGCTGTGCTCATCGGACCGCCTTCTGCGGGTGCGCCCTTCAGGAGGGGGTGGCGCCGCCGAGGGCCCCTGAGCCCGCAGGAAGCCCCCGGCCTGTAAAATGGAACTTACAGGGATGACCCGTCAGAGGAGACAGCCTGGTGGGTGGGCTCCCCTTCCCGTGGCTTACTAGCCCTCCTCCAGGCCGGTGCCACCAGCTCTGGGTGGGGACGGAAAAGTGCCAGGAAGCACCAACATTGGTAGCTGCCGGCTCACCGGGTCATCTCCGGCAGCTGGCACAGAACAAATGCGCATGCTCCTTTTGTAGCTGGGGAAACTGAGGCACAGAGGCCTAGTACAAGTTTCAGTCCCAGAATTACAGTGCAGCCCGGCCCGGCCCTAAATGCCTCGCCTTTGAAACACTTCCTCTGAGTGCTTTAGTGGCCCAACCCCTGAGTGACTGGAACAGGGACCGTGTCTTTGGAGAACCAGCCCGGAGGCCAGGAGCGGAGTGTGGGTGCCCAGGGTGCTCACTGCAGAAGGAGGGGCGCTGGGTTCTTCCCCTGTGCACACTGCCTGCTGGGCACTCGACACTCATCACCTTTTAGGAAATCGTCCTGAGGAGTTGGTCCAGGAGGGCTTCCTGCAGGCGCTGGCATGAAGGCAGCCCCACAAGGCAGGCCAGACCCCACAGGGCACAGGGTAGACTCGCAGGGGGCAGTATTCCTGCACGAGGAAGGCAAGAGCTAGGGCCGGGAAGGTGTGAGGGGGACATTCGTATCTTCCTGGGTGGTTGGGTGATCCCTAAACAGCAGGAAGCCGGGCTGTGAGGCAGAGGGAGCTGTCAGCTGCAGGAAGGGACCCATGGCAGGGAGAGGTCACCTTTGCTGGCGCCCAGCGTTCACAGAGATGGGGTGAGCTGCCCATGCTTCCAGGGCTGGGCTAGCTGAGTGCCCTCAGCAAGATTGGTCACCTCACCTGACCCAGTGGGAACCGCAAAGCCTTTGAAACCATGTATGGAGGCCCCCAAGCTTACTACCAACGGCCACAAAACCAGCCCCCTCCCTGCCCCAACCAGGCTTAGAGAACCAGCTTTCATTTTCCTGAGTAGTTCCTAACCCTAACCCTAATCCTAAACTATAACATAGCCCTAAACCATAACCCTAACCCTAAGCCACAACCCTAACCCAAACCCTAAACCATAACCCTAATCCTAAACCCTAAACCATAACCCTAATCCTAAACTATAACCCTAACCCATAACCCTAACCCTAAACCATAACGCGAATCCTAAACTATAACCCTAAGCCATACCCCTAACCCTAAGCCATAACCCTAACCCTACCCCTAAGCCATAACCCTAATCCTAAACTATAACCCTAACCCATAACCCTAACCCTAAACCATAACGCGAATCCTAAACTATAACCCTAAACCATACCCCTAACCCTAAGCCATAACCCTAACCCTAACCCTAAGCCATAACCCTAATCCTAAACTATAACCCTAAACCATAACCCTAACCCTAAACCATAACGCTAATCCTAAACTATAACCCTAAGCCATACCCCTAACCCTAAGCCATAACCCTAACCCTAAGCCATAACCCTAACCCTAACCCTACCATAACTCTAATCCTAAACTATAACCCTAAGCCATAACCCTAACCCTAATCCTAAACTATAATCCTAACCCTAAGCCATAACTCTAACCCTAACCTTTAACCACAACCATACCATAACCTAATAGGCAGAGAAGTCACGTGGGCTGTGTATGGGTGGGACAGGGACCAGGAAGACAAGTTTGGTGGAGTACTGCTCAGAGGGGCTCGGGGCACAGCCGGCTCAGGGGTCACTGGGGCACTTACAAGGTCACAGAGATGCAGACCCAGGTGTGGACAGCTACAAGAATGCCCGGGAGAGGGAGGAGCCACACTTTAGGGGAAAGTATTTCCAATGAAAAGGTTTTCCCAAGAATGACAGTAACATGTGCCTGTGATGGAAAACTTGGATAATGCAGAGAAGGGATTACGAGTGAGCAACCCACAAACCCTCTCCCAGGTCCCAGCAGAGCTACTGAGCTCAGTGGGGGGTCCCAGGAGGAGCAGAGGCGGCCAGGGGGTGGGGGCGGGGGCAGGGCCAGTGGAGAGCTGAGACTGGCCCCTGAAGGTTGGTGGAAAGAGCAAGAGTTGGGGGGCCCCAGGAGAGGGGCTGAGCCCAGAGCCCAGAGCCCCTCCCTTCCCCCCTCCCGAGCCGAATCTCCCAGCTGTATACCGCGCAGGCACATGTGGGGTTTGAATACGCGGGTGGAGGGGGAGCCTTGGAAACTATAAAGTGCGGCCTCGCCATGTCACTGAAGGACTTGAGGCCAGGGAAGTCAGCGGCATTTTTAAGGTCTCACAGGGCAGAACTTGTGCGGGGTTTTCATTCTGTAAAATGGGAACCAAGACTGGGGGTGCAGGGTGGGGTCCCCCGCTTGTCCTTAACCCCCCTTCCCCACCCCAGGCCACCTGGTGGACGCGCTGAAGAGCTACGAGGTCATCTTCTACCTGGCGGGCTCCGAGGTGGTCCTGGCCGGGCTCTTCATGGCTGTGGCCACCAACTGCTGCCTGCGCCGCGCTCAGGCCGCCCCGCCCCGCCCAGGCACCGGGGACGGGGCCCGCGACTCGGAGGACGCTGAGGCCGAAGGGGACCCCGAGCCCCTGCCCGCCCCGGAGCCCAGTGTCCCTGAGACCCTGGAGTTGCTCAGCCCCGGGGCTGGGCCCTCAGAACCCGAGGTGGAGGCAGAGCCAGGGCTGGACCCGGAGTCTGTGTAGCGCAGAGGCGCGGGGTGGAGAGCTCGTGACTGCAGACACAGGGCTTCCCTGGCCGAGGGAGGCGGCTCCTGGTGGTCACCCCTGGGGGCCAGGTGCGAGCTTCCTCCCTGCCTGCCCCGCGAGCCGTGGCCGGCCCTGCCCCCGCTCAGTGAAGCTGCTGAGCCCAAAACGGGCCTGAGCGCCGTGAAACTCCAGCTCATTAAGCTCAGCCCAGAGACAGGTTCTGCTCCTGCGCCTCCGCTGCAGCTGTGGCTCTGGCTTCGACCTGGGAGGGGCGGGTAGGAGGGGGCAGAG